AGAAACCGAAACTTTCCCAGGAAAGTCATTTCTTACTTCTCTTATCCAGCCCAAGGCCGACTAACTCAGGCAAGGCCATCTCGTCCTGGGACAGCCTGCTGCTCATCAAAGCCCCCGTGCTACATCCCAGCTCTTCTGCAGCCTGCAACTCTCCTCCCGAGATACCTGTTTCCTAAGACTGACAAGGCTTTTCTGATTGGAGGATGTTCTCTAAGCCTTGACGTTTGGTTTCCAAAATCAACTTTTCTTTCTATTCATGGGGTGGTCTGGTTCAGTGGTTCCACTCCCTTATAGTTTGTATGCCCAAGATCTCATGTGTTGAAATATCATCTTCCACACGGCAGGGTTAAGACATAGAACCTATGTTCTTATGAATGGGATTAATGTCCTTATATAGAAGCCCCAGAAAGCTGCCTTCCACACCCAGCATGTGAGGACAAGGCAGGAGGCACCATCTTCGAAGCTGAGTGAACACTTACCGGACACTGAATCTGACACACCTTGCTTTCAGATTCCTTGCCCTCCGCCATGATGAGCAATAGATTTCTGTTGTTCCTTAAGTAACCGGGGCTTTATTTTGAATGTCCCTCAAAGGTCCATATATTAAAGGCTTGCCCCCGATGGTGCTTTGGGAGGGGATGTAGTCTTTAAGTGGTGGAGCCAAGTGGGGACTCCTTGGGTAATTCAGGGGAGGGTATCCTCAAATGGATTAGGGAGCCTATGACTCCTTTGTTTTTCCTTTGCCTCTTGGCTGTGAAGTGCAAGCTTTTGCTTCAGCACCCCTCCCACTATGATGTAAGCAGCTCACTTTCCTACAGGCCTAAAGCACCAGGACCAAACCAATCATGAACTGGAACCTCCAATGACCGAGAACCAAAATACTTTTTTTTTTGACAAGTGTTTAGCTCAGGTATTTTGTTACAGTGATAGAAACCTGAGGACACACACATAAGTTACCTTCTTATGGGTGCCCAGGATCTCAGACAAAAAGTGGTACCAAGAAATGGTGTGCTGTGCTGTTAGGAAACACCAAAGAATGTGGAAGTGTTTTGGAATGCGTGTTGGACAGAAACTGTATTGCTGTTCACAGACCCTGAAGGGAAGTTTCCTGTAAGGGCTCAGAAGAGACAAGTTACAGAGAAATCTCAGAGATCACATGAGAGGCAACGGACAGGACAGCATCGGAAAGAGGAACATCCAAGGTTATTCTGGTGGGTTATCAGCTGGAAATGGGAAACAGGGAGACTGGAAAGCAGAGGAAGGGCGAAAGGGCCAGCCTGTTATAAAGCCCATTTGTGTCTTGGCGTTTTCTGAGGTTCTGAGCAATGACAAGGCCAATTGGCAGATGGAGAGAAAAGTCCTGTGTGTTTGGCACTCTATCTTGACTGCTAGAAAATGTGAAAAAAAAAAAAACAGAAGCAAAACTTAAAAGTCTGGAACATTCTCAGTCTGGCCCATATTATAAGGAATGAAAAAGCATGTTCAGAAAACACCAAAGAGCCAGCCAGGGGACTGATGTTAGGAGATTCACTTGGCTAGCTGCTCAGGAGGGTAAACAACAGGGAAGGCATCTCAGAGATCTTGGGGGCCTTCCTAGGCCAGAATGCTCAAGCCCTGAGGGTGGAATGGTTTCTGGGCTCCTTTCCTTGTGTTATGACTCAGGGCTCTCTGGCTACCCAGCCATGGTTCAAGGCAGAGCTCAGGCCACCAATGGAACACCATGGATGCCTGCAAAGTGTCATCCCCATGAATAGGGAAGTGTATTCTCTGTGGGCAAGGATATTTCCACCTCAGTTTCAAAAGATGCCCCAGGCATCCTCAAGGCCAGGCAGAGGAGCTGCACCAGGGAAGTGACATCAGAGAGTCCTGTCTAAGGTACAGCCCAACACAGCCATGTAGAGAGAGGCCTTCCCCAGACTCCAGAATTGTACAGACTCCAGTGGGTACCTGAAAGGCTAATATATCCTACAAAGCTGGAGAGGTGGGGCTCGAAGAATAGAAGAGCTCTCAACCACTGAGCCATCTCTCCAGTCCCATAATTTTGTTTGTTTCATGAAACAAAGACCAGACTGTAACTATTATCAAATGAACCATGGAGGTGCTGGAAAGATGGCTCAGTGATTAAGAGCACTGACTGCTCTTCCAGCAGCCACATGGTGATTCACAACTGTCTGTAGCTCCAGTCCCAAGGGACCGAACACTGTCTTCTGAGGACACTGCACATACGTGGTACACAGACATACATGCAGGCAAAACATCCATACACACAAAATAGATATACTTTTAAAAAGGAGAGAACTATGGTTCTTGATTTGTGGCATGAGTTTTCAAAGCTGTTGAGGTGGCTAACCATGAGCTGTTTCAAAATGATATGTCAGCGCCATTGTAGTTACTGTGGTTACCCAGGGAGTGAGTTCAGGATGGAACTTACCTTCTTATTTCTGGACTCTTCTATATCAGTGACTATGTAGCTGGGTCACCTGGCTTGGACTGTGACTGGAATATACACTAAGGTCCTATCGGGCCTTGATACATTTAATTTTGTCATCCAGATTGGCAGTAGAAAACACAGTCTTATTATAAGTGCCTAGCTCAACTCTCAATTAATTTATAAATGTCTCAAAACTTTTATTCTATTTTTTTTTGCTGGCAATTAAACAGGTTGTTGTTTTTCCCCGTGTATTCAAAAATATACTTATTAAGTGCCTTCTATGTGCTGGGGCTTATTCTGGATACTAGGAAAATAGAAATTAGCCTAACAAGCTCTCTCCTAAGGAGTCTTGAATTCACACTGCTGTGACCCAGACACTTGAGAGTACAGCTTAAAGAGTCTGTTTTAGCTTCTGTGAGCTCCGTCCGTGGCTGCCTGGCTTGTTTCTGGGCCTGTGTGAGGCAGAACATCGAGGTAGTGTGAGCACATGGGAGAAGTTTCTTCAGCATAGCATAGCTAGGAAGCAGAAAGAGAGAGAGAGAAACAGACTAGAGAACCCCAGGGCAGGACACAGCCCTTGACAACACACCCCTGGCTACCTACTTCCTCCAGTTAGACCTCACCTCCTAAGATTTCTAGACCCTCCCCAAACAAAACCATTAGCTGGGCAACACATAATCAACACATGAGCCTGGGGGGTGGGGAACACTTTATGTTTAAATTATGACGAGCCCCCAGAATAGGAAGAACAGGAAGTAAGGCCTGGAGTTCACTCATTCATTCATTCATTCATTCATGCAATCATTCACGATACTTATTCACCATCCTTAGCATGCTAAGAACAGGGGAAACAAGGAAGAAAAGGCCCATTTCCGCACTGGTGCTGCCTTTGTTCAACTGGAAACAGAAGTCTCATAAGCAGATCATTCCGGATACGAAAGTTATGAAGGGGAAGCACCTAGAAGGCCACCACCATGTCGAGGCGGTGAGGATAGCCCGCTGCCTAAGATGCAAAGATAGGGAGGACCATTGCATAGAGCAGGGGCAAGAGAGACTACAGCAAAGGCACTTTCAAACAGAGGAAAAACACTGGGGAGGGTGGAGGTTGCCAGGAGGCAATGGTGTGCGAAGTTAGCCAGTAACAAAATCCTGACAAATCTTGTAAGCCATGATTAAGAGTTTGACCTCTTTCTGAGGTTAATGGGTAAAGATGAGCTTTAAGCAATGGGAGGAAGTATTCAAGTTGCTCACTTTACAAAATCACTGGTTGCCAATCAGTGTTTTGGAGTCTGAGATGCCAGAGGCAGGACACTGGTTAGGTTTTTTTTTTTAATTATATTTTTATTATATATATGAGTACACTGTCATGGTTTTCAGACATACCAGAAGAGGGCATCTGATCCTATTACAGATGGTTGTGAGCCACCATGTGGTTGCTGGCAATTGAACTCAGGACCTCTGGAAGAGCAGTTAGTGCTCTTAACTGCTGAGCCATCTCTCCAGCCCCAGTTAGGAGTTCTTAAAATTCTCTTTGGGAAGTGCTGACCATAGGCTGACCTCAGAGTGATGGAGACAGAGCCCTGATTGAGGCACAGTAAACAGGAGGTGGGGACACCAGCAATAAAGAATGTGAGAAAGGACCTAATTTCTGCCCTCAGCAAGGGAGGAAGTAATCCTGCATAAGAAGCCTGGGGGGGCCATCAGCTCTCCATGGAATATGTTGAACAAGAATCTCGAGGGATGATCAGATGGAGATGTCCTGCAGGCACTGAAGCCTGGGACTGGAAAGAGGGCTTCAACTCGAGCTTGTGGTTGGGAAGCTGCTAGGGTAAAGGAGATTCTGAGCCCTGTGGTACTTGCCACATCACTCAGCAATGCTGAGAGGGAAATAAATAGGAGACAAAAGCACCCCAGGAAAGACAGGATGGAAAAGTAATGGATGGCCACTAAAGATGTAGTAGTGAAGGCTACAGAAAGGACCTTAAGCCCGGAACTCTCAGCTTGAATATGCTGCTACTGGATGGTGCTGACTGGACTCTTCCTGGGGAAATCTACTTTTCCTGGCATAGCCAGCACACCCACCGCCAAAGAAAAGACAGCCGGGGACAGAAGTCAGAAGGTCACTTGTGTCTTGTGTTGAACATTAGAAATAGTATCTAAAAACACAGGAAGTAAACTTGTGTCAGAACCTGATTCTCTTTCAGGGTTTGGTTCACATTCTATAAATGTACTGGGGGTTGAGGTGTGAATGGGTGGGGCGGCTTCACAACAACAACAAAGTGCTTTCTCACCTTACAGACTCTCAGAGTGTGGTGACCTGTACATCACAAGATCATGGCTTTTAGGAGGTTCAGGGGTGGGTGGGGCCTGAGAGAAGGGAGACAGGCACCCTTAAGCCACGGTCTACATAGGGATGGGAGCTGGGGGGCTCCACACAATCGAATATCAAGACTGTGAGCCCTAGCAGTGGTTCTCAACCTATGGGTCTCAACCCCCTTAAGGGTTGAATATCAGATACCCTGAATATCAGATATCTCCATTACAATTCATAACAGTAGCAAGATTATAATTATGAAGTAGCAACAAAATAATTTTATGGTTGGGGATCACCACAGCCGAAGGAACTGTATTGAAGGATCCCAGCATTAGGAAGGTTGAGAGTTACTGTCCCACAGCCATGGTCACCAAGGGAACAAAGGGGAATGTTGAGAAATGAGTCGATTCTCACAGGCCCAGTGGCCTGCGCTGAGGAAACTTCCTCCATAGAGGTGTCAAGGCCACACCCTCAGAGTCTCAGGGCAGAGCTTCTGCACTGTCAGAAACATCAGGAGGATCTGGAGCAACAGACATATTTGGAACAACAGGAACATCTGGAGCAACAGGAACATCTGGAGCATCAGGAACATCTGGAGCATCACCTGGGCCTCGGGAACATCAAGCTGCCCTGTCCTCTGCTGTGGCTTTCACATGGCTGAGGCGGCTTCCTCTAGGGATTAGGAAGTACTTGTGTTACAATCCAGCCATTCTAGATTATTCTAAAATGAGCTATGTAAGCCTGTTTCAGCTTGCCAAAAAGGTATGGTTGTTTTAGAGTGCTGGATTTCAGTGGTTGCCGGAATCTCAACATCATCGTAATCATTTTCTGGCTCCGTGGAGCCTGAGATAGCAAAGACCTTCTTGTTTCTAACTTTCTTCACTGATGAATACCAAGCTGATGGTTGTCTTGGAGCTTCCTGTGGGGCTAAAGCACAGAAAAAGGTCGCTATACGCAAGGCTACTCTGTACTAATGTATTTTTAACCAAGTGGCTCGACATGAGCTTTGAACACATTACAGATCTTCCCACTTCCTGAGTAACCAGTTCCCCATTTCACAGAGGAAAACCAGTCACAGACATGACACATGTCTCAGGATCACCCAAGTGCGTGAATAGCAAATGTTGGGCAGATCTCTTGACTCCCACATCTCTGCTCTAAGACCCCACTTCAAGGGAACCATGATGCAAACACTCAAGAAGCAGACCACAGCCAGTTGCTAAGTGACCACAGCTATACCCACAGATCCCAGATCACACGAATCTGATGGACTTCTTGGCTCATCCCCCCCTGTACCATACTCTACGATGCTCCCAGGACTTTTTGGTATTGCTTACATACAAATCTGCCCGCTAAGAAAGAAGGAAACGTGTGTGTGTGTGTGTGTGTGTGTGTGTGTGGTGGGGGTAGTGTTCAAAGATAGACTCGGTGCAGAATGGTCTATAGCAGGAACAAGAATGCTTGCTGCTTTTTGTCTGTGACTTAAGAGCAATTCTCCTGAGGCCCATGTGTAGAAGACTTGGTGTGATACCAATATGGGGACATTGTGTGTGGGAAGGGGGTTAAGAGCTCCTATTGCTCTGCAGAGAATCTGACTTCAGTTCCCAGCAACCACACCAGGCAGTTCATAATCACCTCTAACTCCAGCTCCAGGGGATCTAGTTCCCTCTTCTGGACACGTGTGTACTCATGCTACAAATGTGGGCAAACACATACGGACACAAAACTAAATGAAGGGTAAGAGATGGTGGGAACTTCAAGATATGGAACTGGATAGAAGCAGTATGGATCCTCCCTTTGCTCTGCCACTCAGCACTAAGATGTGATTTCCTGCTGTCACATGGGATCCTACCATGATGTCATATTTATCCCGTGATGCAGCTTTCCAGCGTTATGCTGTTTGGATACTCACCCACCAAAACTGCAAACTAAGTAAGCCTCTTTGAAAAAAAAAGTTACCCAGCTTAAAGTAATTTGTCATGGTAACAGAAAATGGACTGACACAGTGACGAACAGCTTAGCTACACCTATAATGAGAATCAGATTATTTCTCCAAGAAAATTGGAAAGCCTCTGCCATTTCATTTCCCGTAAAAATGAGTTCATGTTTGGACCCAGGAGCTAGTTAACTAACTAACTAACTTGGTAACTTGGATCATGGGTAAATCACTTAATGTCTCTGGGCCTCAGTGTTGTCAGCCGTCACAGGAGCACCAGCACTCAGTCTCACAGAGCTCTGAGGGTTTAAGTGAGATTGTGTCTAACTGGGGCCAGTCCCGGGAATCAGGGACCATCCAGGCCTGGTGGCCTTCACCTGTGATCACAGCACTGGGGACACAAAGGGAGGAGGATTGAGGAGTTCAAGGAGCTTAAGGCCAACCTGGGCTACATGAGACGTCTCAAAAAGGGGAGGGGAGACAAAGTCTGCAAAGTACTTGTCTCACAAGTATGAGGACCCAAGTTTGATTCTCAGAACCCATATCTGTGTGTCTATCTACTTATCTATCTATCTTCTATCTATCTATCTATCTATCTATCTATCTATCTATCTATCTATCATCTATCAATATATTTATCCATCCATCTATCTGTAGGTCAATTATCTATCTATCATCTATGTATCATGTATCTGTCTATCTCTGTCAATCTCTATCTAATCATCTTTCTATCCATCTTTCTATCATATGCCTATCTATCTATCTATCTATCTATCTATCTATCTATCTATCTACCTGCTATGTTCATATGTGTTGCTTTCATGGGGTGCATATTTGAAATCTCAGCACAGGGCAGATCCCTAGAACTCACTGGCCAGCTTGCCTCACCTGCTTGGTGAGTTCCAGCCAATGAAAGACTGGTTTTTTTTAAAAAAGGTGAATGGTGCCTGAGGAATTGCAGCTGAGGGCTGTTCTCTAGCTTTCAAAGATATACACACATTCATTCTCGAGCACATGTACACACATGTACACATATGAACACGAGCAGGCACACACCCAGACACATACCCACAGCCACACACATGTTTAAAAAAAAAATAAGCCACCATCTGCAAGTCAGGAGGCACCCTTCCCATATATCAAACCAGCCAACACCTTTATCTCAGACTCCCAGCCTCCACAACTGTGGGGAAGTAATATTTCCACTGCTCAAGCCATCCAGCCTATAGAATTTTGTTAGTAAGCCAAAAAAGATACAATAATACATTCTTTATCCCACTCAGAATGATACTGTTATCAGCAAACTGTACTTACCTAGGTCTCCTGGAAAAGGTGAATCCCTGGGTGGCAGTGGAGGTAACTGACCTGATGAAGGGTTAAGAACATTCCTAGGGAGGGAGAGAATGAGGGAGGGAGATGCACACACACACACACACACACACACACACACACACAGAGAGAGAGAGAGAGAGAGAGGGAGAGGGAGAGACAGACAGACAGACAGACAGACAGATGCAGAGACACAGAGGGAGTGATAGAAACAGAGAGAGAGAGACACACACACACACAGGCAGACAGGCAGACACAGAGACACAGAGGGAGAGACAGAGGGAGAAAGAGAGTCAGTGGTTGATCTGAATCAAGCCTGCCGCTGGCTGCTTTATAAGACAGAGCAAGTAAACGGATTGAAGACTCAAATCTAGATTCCTCCAAGTTGGAAGCATTTCCACACCTTTCTAGATTCTGCATTTCATTTCTGTCACCCCAAAGAAACCATTTCCTCCAGCCCACATACATAATGGGCAGGGATTGTCATTAGAGCACCGAGCATAGCCTCTTGTGGGAACGAGTGGTCTATCAGGTGTATTTCAATTTGCAAGACAGATGTACTCCCTCTTGATGTTAAGTATCAACACTGTGACCAGCAGCACCACTGTGAATTCACTACAGATGTGTCCAGATGTTTGAAGCAGGGCTGTTTACATGTTACAGATGCTAAATGGCCCCCAAAGTTCAGCTTAGCACTGTTGGAAAGTGGTGAAAACTTCAAGCGTTGGAGCCCAGTGGGAAGTTTTTAAATGACTGGAAGCATGTGTTCAAAGGGGACTGTGGGCCCTGAGTCCCTTCTGCCTCTCATCACCCCTCCTCTTGTCCCTGGCTTTGTTCTATGCCACACTCCTACCATGATGCCTCAACAGGCCCAAAGCATCAGGACCAACCAGTCATGGACTAGAAACTCACAAACCATGAGCCAAAAGAAACCTCTTCTCTTTATAAACTGATTGTCTCAGGCATTTGTTACAATAACAGCGCTCCCATACATCACACTGCCCAAAAGGCCAATCACAGTGGAAGGGACAAATTTACTATGGCCCACTCCCACAGTGGAATGCTCTACGGCAAGCAGAATGAACAATCTACAACTACACTCAACGACTCTCACAAAAATAATACTGATTTGGGCTTGTAGCTCAATAGTGGAGCCTGGCATGTTATACGTGAGGCCCTGGGATTGAACTGACACCCTAGTACTGAAAAAAAAAAGGGTAAAAAATGCAAAATACCATGTGCTATTTCAGTCACATGAAGCACGAAATGATCAAATGCCTGGCTGATTCCTTCTGGCTAGTAGGGATTTGGGGGTGCCATGGCTGAAGGCCTTAGAAGTAAGTGTCTATGATGTTAACGAGATCTACTCTTTTTTTTTAAAGGGTTATTTATTTTTTTTTATTTATATGAGTACACTGTAGCTGTCTTCAGACACACCAGAGGAGGGCATCAGATCCCATTACAGATGGTTGTGAGCCACCATGTGATTACTGGGAATTGAACATAGGACCTCTGGAAGAGCAGTTTGTGCTCTTAACCACTGAACCATCTCTTCAGCCCGAGATCTAATCTTGAGCTGGGTGTCTGCTTCATTCATAGCAACTTGTTAAGCTGTATGCTTCCTGAAAAAAAAATTCTGTAGTATACTGGCTGTTTTTGTGTGTCAATCTGATACAAACTGGAGTTATCACAGAGAAAGGAGCCTCCTTGGAGGAAATGCCTCCATGAGATCCAGCTGTAAGGCATTTTCTCAAATAGTGATCAAGGAGGGAGAGCCCATTGTGGGTGGTGCCATCCCTGGGATGGTAGTCCTGGGTTCTATAAGAACGCCTCTGTATCAGTTCCTCCTTCCTGACCTGCTTGAGTTCCAGTCCTGGCTTCCTTTGGTGATGAAGCAATGAATCTTCCTTTGGTGATTCCACAGCAATGTGGAAGTGTAAGTTGAATAAATCCTTTCCGCCTCAACTTGTTTCTTGGTCATGATGTTTTGTGCAGGAATAGAAACCCTGACTAAGTCCGCATTGGTGGTTTAGTGGTAGAATTCTCGCCTGCCATGAAGGAGGCCCGGGTTCGATTCCCAGCCAATGCACAGTAGTACTATTTGCCAGGCAGTGGTGGTGCACACCTTTAATCCCAGCACTTGGGAGGCAGAGGCAGGCGGATTTCTGAGTTCAAGGCCAGCCTGGTCTACAGAGTGAGTTCCAGTACAGCCAGGGCTACACAGAGAAACCCTGTCTCAAAAAAAACCACACACACACACACAAAAAAAGAGAAACCCTGACTAAGACATGTCATACATAATAGCTCATTTCTGTGGGAAATTTTCACATTGTAGCAAGGCCTTGGCCATCTGGCTCTGTGATGCTTGATTGACTTAGTCATCAATGGGATCAGATTGGACAAGGAAAGGTTATATTTTCTGGTCTCTTTGAACCCCAAAAACATCCATTTTAGAAAAGTGTAGATTTTCTTGCAGATAGGCAAAGGCTGCCCCTTAACTGGGTCCTGATCCTTGGTGACCACCTCTCAGCTTTTAGAATATCACATTGTTAACCACTGTGTTTATATGTCTGGTATTTTGACTGCTCCTGATGGCTATGCTCATGATCTCATTTATGGGGCATGCCTGCTTCTGTTCATCTGAACCCCTGAGTCATGCTCTATTAATTTGACTCCTGGAGGGGCTGGGAACTGAGTAGCTTAAGTCAGTGATGGGTTCTCTGTCACTGTTTCTGGGTACCAAGGCTCAGCTGAGCTGCTTGGGACTGTGATGCTTCATGTGTGTTGACATACGTGGTTGCTGGGATCTGTTCTCAGAACTTCCAGGGAAGGACAGCTGGAGGCTTGTGGCTGGTTTCTCCTATAGTCCACCTTATGTGCCTTTTTTCCTTTGCTAATTTTATCTGTTTTTGTCTGTGTTAGACTATAGCTGTGCTGGGCATGGTGGTGCACACCTCTGATCCCAGCACTCAGGAGGCTGAGGCAGATGGATCTCTGTGAGTTTGAGGCCAACCTTGTCTATATAGCAAGTTCCAGGACAGCCAAAGATATGTAGTAGATAGAATCCTGTCTCAAACAAAGAAACAAAACCTGTAAGATAAGTTCCAGGTCCCATAGGTCCCCCTCATGAATTCTTGCCCCTAAAGGGTAGCCTTGGGAATTCGTCTTCATAAATAGCAAGTCCCAAACATATCACAAAAGGCAAAATATAAAGCCAATGCTCAGGGCTAGAGGACCCAGGTTCAATTCCCAGCCACACGGTGGGCTATAGCTGTCTGAAACTCCAGTTTCAGGAGATCTAGATGCCCTTCTTCTTGGGTATCAGGCACACACATAGTACACAGACATGCACAGAGGCAAAGTGCTCATACACTTAATATAAAAATAAATCTTTAAAAGGGGAAGCAAATGCTATACTTTTATGCCACGTTTTCAGACATGTAATCTGCTTAAAGAAAAGAGGTGTATAGCTGGGCAGTGGTGGTGCACGCCTTTAATCCCAGCACTTGGGAGGCAGAGGCAGGCGGATTTCTGAGTTCGAGAGTTCGAGGCTAGCCTGGTCTACAGAATGAGTTCCAGGACAGCCAGGGCTTCACCAAGAAACCCTGTCTCGAAAAACCAAAAAGAAAAAAAAAAAAAAGAGGTGTAACTGAGTTTTGGACACAGAGCCTACACAGTAACCTCTGTCAGAATAAATATGACCAGGGAACCCATAACAGGATGCCAGAGGTGCCCTGTACCCACAATGCTCCGGACCTTCTTCCTCGCATAGATGGAGAACATTGACAGGTCCATCTCACCAACTCCATAGGGAAGGAGGCATTGCAGCCACACCAGAACAGAATCAGAAGGGCCCTGGTGGCAGTGAACAGTCATATTCTCAGAGGTGAACCACAGGGGTCTCCCCTCCCTCCACTTACTCATACATCTTTTCTTCATCTCTTCCATCCTGTTTCGAAGGTTTGGCAATTTCCCAGTTCCTGCCTAAGGGAGGGAAACCATATTCATTAGAGCACATTAACGAAAGTTATGAGTTCAGAATTTAGAAGTCCCTGGAAAATAATCAGATCCAGGACGTTAGGAGGGGAACTGCCAAGAGATAAGAGACTTACGAACACCCAGCTTGCAAGTGACAGAGCTAGCTAGCATTTGGAACCTGGCCATGAAGCCGCAGAACCTGGGAGGGAGGCAACCCTTGGCCAGCAACAGCAATAAACAAACAAATGGATAAATGGAAAAAACTTAAAAGATAGCCAATGGATAGAGAAGTATATGAGCCCAGAACACACTTTATAAAAATTATATATTTAAAAAAAAAAGATGCCAGGCATGGTGGTGTACATCTTCAATCCTAGCACTTGGGAGGCAGAGGCAGGCAGATCTCCAAGCTCAAGGCCAGACCTGTCTACATAGTGAGTTTCAAGATAGCCAAGGCTACATGGAGAAACCCTGTCTCAAAAGAACAAAAACCACAAAATATAAAAACTAATAATATATAAATACATATATGTGTGAATTTTATATATAAAATAAAGTAATAGAGTTCTGAATAAATCCTCCCCTTTTATTAAAAATTAATTACTTAAGGGATAGTGGGAAAAGAAGATCAAATTGGGAACCTAGCACACTGAGATCTGATCTCAATTCTTCCACTAACCCCTGAGCACCTCTGCTGAGGCTCTGTCTCCCTTTGGGCTAGGAACCCCCTAAAAGGCCTGCCTTCAGTGCAGCCAGACCTCAGCACTCACTGAGCAGATGTCTGGGGACAGTGTGCTGAGAGCTTGGGAGGCTCACCCAGGGCACGCTAGTGTACTGCCTGGTCTGTTAGCTGGGCATGCTCCTGGCTTGGACCACTTTGTATTTTCTTTTAAATGGCTAGGATCTCAAAGGACTATGCTACTGCTTGGAGAGTTCATTTTTCTGGACATAAACAGCAAAATGGAAAACTTAGTTGTAGATAACCTAAAATTAATGTTCATTTCCAGTCACCTTGTCTGAGGAGGCCAAAACCTTCTGGTCAAGATGGAAAAAATAGCAGAAAACAGGTCTTAGAGAGAAGGCAGTCATGCTACTGAAACACGTTCATCATGGATTGTATCTGTGTTTGCTTGTTTTTTAATTCTCACATACGTTACTGCAGTTTTTCCTTCTTGCCCATCCTCCAGTCTCTCCCCCACCTCCCCTTTTCCCCAGATCCACCCCTGCTCTGTCTTCTATCAGAAAATAACAGGCCTTCTAGGGACATCAACCAAACACAGCATAACAAGCTACAATAAAGCCAGCACATACTGTTACTTCAAGGCTGGATGAGGCAACCCAGTAGGAGGAAAAGGGTCCCATGAGCAGGCAAAAGAGTTGGGGACAGTCCCTGCTTCTGTCTTATGGGATAATCCTAATCGCCAAGCTTCTCAGCCACAACATACATGCAGAGGACATAGGTCAGACCCCCCCCCCAACAGATTCTCTAATCTCTGTGAGTCCTCATGAGTCCCAGTCACTTGTTTCTGTGTGCCATATTCTCATGTTCTTGTGGTGTCCCTGACCCATCTGGTTCCTTTGATCCTTCCTTCCCCTCCTCTTCAGGACCCCTCGAACTCTGCCTAATGTTTGCCTGTGGTACTTAAACTCCATGGATTCTACAAGAGTAACCCTAGCAAAGACTTCTAGTAACGGGGGACATGGAGCCCGAGCTGGCCCTCTTCTGTAACCAGGGAAGCCCTTAAATGGAGGTCTTGGGGCACCAACCCAGTCATAAAACCTTTGACCTACAGTTTGCCCTGCCTGCAGTATGCTCTGGGACTGTAGCCTTGTAGAACTGTCATCAAGAAGACCAGAGAGACTTCACTTAGCAACTGATCAAATCTATATTTTAATGCTCGAGACAGTTGGCTTTCTACAGACTTCCATCTGCTCCCTTTAGAGAGCCACAGAAAAGATGATATCAGTGCCTGGAAGACATGGGGCTCCAGTGACCCTGCATCTATTTTTACCCAAATCCTCTGGCTTTGGAATTAATCTCCTCCCCTTTGATATGCACATGAGAAACTGAGGCCCAGGGACAGAGGTTTATGGCAAGGCTAGAACTCACACCCAAGGCTCATGATGTTCCCCTAAGTCCACACAGGCCAGGCTTATGCTGAGTTTTGCTGCACTGACATCACCTGTCCCCCACCCTCTGCCAGGTAAGATGGCCATCATTACCTTGTCTAAGCTGCCACCTGCAGACACAATACAGGATGAGACCTAGGACCAAGGAGATGAAGATGATGGCCACAGCTAAGATGATCCAAAAATTGTTCCTCCACCAATTCATTGCTGTGGAAGCCTAGGAAGAACAGAGACCGAGGCATGAGGCGTAAGTGGAAAGCTGGGGCTGTCATCTACCATGCTTCCTGACACATATGCTTAGGACCCAGACAGTCAGACCTTACAGACAATGCCTTAGCAGCCCACAGGCAAGTTGCTTACCATCTTCGGAGATTGTGTCCCATCTGTAACATGGGACTGATGTTGCAAAGTACTTCATAAGAGTCTGTGAGGCTTAGCTATGAGCCGTGTAACTACTAGACTCTTCAGAAATAGGCCATGGCCATGGCTTGCTTCCACTGCTGAGGCACAGCAGACAGGAGGTATACCACGAAAGGCAATCCCCAGCTGCAGTTCTTTTTTTTGTTGTTTTTTGTTTTTGTTTTTTCGAGACAGGGTTTCTCTGTGTAGCCCTGGCTGTCCTGGACTCACTGTGTAGACCAGGTTGGCCTCGAACTCAGAAATCCACCTGCCTCTGCCTCCCAAGCGCTGGGATTAAAGGCGTGCGCCACCACCGCCCAGCAACCAGCTGCAGTTCTTTATATCTCAAAGATAAGATACACTTTTTACGACTGTGGAGAGAGAATTTTGAGAGGTTTTTTGTTGTTTTGAGGGTGGGGCTAGGAAAAGTACCTTGCTAGGTGCTATGATTTGAATATGGCATGTTCCACTAGAACTCATGCTGAAGCTTGGCCACCATGACACAGTATTGAGAGGTGGTGGAATTATTTTTTTAATAAAAAAAACTATTGTATATGTGTGAGTGTTTTGGCTGCATGAGTGTCTGTACCACATGCGTTCCTGGTGTTCACGGAGCCAGAAGAGATTGACAGAGCCCTTAGAACTGGAGTTTTGGACAGTTGTGTACAACCATGTGGGTGTTGGGAATCAAACCCTGACCCTCTGGAAGAGCAGCTGGCGTTTTTAAAAGCTGAGCCATTTCTATGGCAGTCCCCCAAGTCGAATGTTCAGTGCCTACCATGAAGAATGCTCTGAAGTCACCCCCTTCTCCATGGACTGCTGTGAGATGCTTTTTCAACACAGAGTAGGCTAACTTGTCTTTCTGAGAGTAAAGCCAAGAGAGAGAGCCCAGGAGAATCACATTCCATTTCCAATGTAGTATCACCTGAGACCACCAAGCTAGTTCAATGGCTGAGGTGCTTCCAGACAGGAGAGGTATACAGGAGAGAAGTGTGGGAAATTTGTCCTGGGGGAGGGCATGGCCAGCTACAGGCCCTGGAAAGATACAGAAATGGCATCTTACTCTGGCCCCAGGCCTGTGGCCAAGCTGGTAGACATGACTGTAGGTTGCAGGATTGCAGGAAGCCACCAGAGCATGGCACAAGCAAATGCCTGCCTGACAGGATGCTGAGAATCAGCCCCAGGCTGTAGCCACAACTCTCAGAGGGCTACAGAGGACAACAGACTTCTCAAGAGATGGCTGTTTGAAAGGCTGGGTCAGGGGATGACTCAAAATCAGTAGTCTGGGGCCAGGCTAGGCAATATAACAAAGCTATGTATCTTTAAAAGATGTTATATTAGGACTGGAGAAATTACTCAGTGGTTAAGAGCACTGGCTGTTCTTTCAGAGGACTTGGGTTCCGTTTCTAGCACTCACATGGCTGGCTCCAGTTTCAGGAAATGCAATGCCCCCTTCTGGTCTCTGCAGGTACTACACACAAGATGCACACATAAATGCTAGCAAGCCACCACACACATAAATTTATTTTATCTTTCAGTTCTGAAGGTCAGCAGTTCATGAATATCTCATTTGTAAGTCTGAAACCAAAGGGCTGTGGGCCTTTAGGCAATACCCATTTAGATCCTCTAGGAGAGAATCCATTTTCTTATCTCTCTGGCTTCGAGAAGTCGCTCACAGTCCTTGGCTCAGGGCCATTTCCTGCCTTCAAAGCCTGTTACACAGCTCTGACCACTCTTCTGTTGTATCGGCTTCTGATCATCCTCTGCTGACTTTCTTCCAGTGCGTAAGGACTCTTAAGGTTACACTGGGTCCATCACTGAGTCAGGATAATTTCCTCACTCCGTCTGCTGATTAAAAACCTTGATTCCCATTTTCTGTGAACTCTGACATAATCCAAGTTCTGGGGATTTGATGTGGACATTTTGAGGAAGGGAAAGACTCTGACACAAATGACTCCATGCTTACTCCTCTATGAAAGGACACTCTGATTAAATCAGATCAGTGGGCTTATATTGTTATATTTTTTAAAAAAATATTTTGCCTTTTTGTGATAGTTCGAGAAGGAGAGGATTCTGCCACCTTTGATCTGAAGTCAGTCACATGGTGTCTGGTATCATCACTGTGGTCATGCTGCAGCAGGGTCTTGCTTCAAGGCAGACTTGGGATGGCACACAGAAGTAGTCTTTGTTTTCAAGTGGCAGGAGGGATACTCAGGGTATAACTCCTGCTTGTGATAAGGCAGGGTCCTCAGAGCCAAAGTGGGTCCAAGAATAATCTTAGCTGGGGACAACAGAACTGTGGGACCCTGTGGTCTAACCCTGACCCAAATGCACGAGTGTGTGAGTCACTTACGTAAAACGGTGTATGAGCAAATATGTTTCTATATAAACCTATGCACATAGTCTCCACACTTGAGATCACCTGTTGCTTACTCTTATGTGGTAAGTGCTATATATGTAGTTGCTACAGTGTGTCACTGAGGGAACAGTGGTAAGGGAGGTAGAGAGTGCATATGACCAGTGGAGAGGCTCTTGGTGCTTGGAGCATTTTCAGTCCTCTGTTGGCTGAATCCATAGATGTAGAACCTGACTGAAGAGGGATGACCACATTTCCGTTTCTCAGAAGAGGAAGCAGAACTTGGACAGGTTAAGAACCGTGCTAATTGGCAACCTGAGATTCCAGCTCAGACACCAGAGTCTGTCTATTCTGCCACCTTAACATGAAACCCACAAATTCCTTCTCTTCATATCAGAACTGAAAGCAGAACCGTGCTCAAAACTTTCCAATATTCACAAGACTTCTGTCTCTCGGTGCAACTTGTTGCTCATAAAGGAAACCCAGTGTGGAAAAAAAAAAAAAACACTTAGAATACCCGTATGTAGCCAGGTGTGGTAGCATTTGCCTTTCATCCTAGCTCTCAGGGGACAGAGACAGGTGGGGCTCTGTGAGTTCAAGACCAGCCTGTTTACATTATCAAGTTCCAGGACTACATAGTAAGACTTGTCTCAAATAAACAAACAAAGAAACAAACATCAAGAACAACAAAATTGCCATATGTATTGTGTGTTGACTTCCCATGAGTTTAGTTACTCTACCTGCCCAAGATCATTTAATCCCCACAATAGCCCCATAAGCTAAATAGTCATCATTATCATCCCACTTTACAGGTTAGAAAATAGAGGCCTGGAAGAGCTTAACAAGATTGTAGAGCAGATAATTGAAAAAAAAAATCAGAAACCAAAGTTTGTCTGACTCTAGGGCCTTAACTTTTGACCATTATGTCTGAGCATCTCAAAAAATGTTCAATTTCCTGGGTATTAAGATGCACTTAAATACAAGGCCTTGTGCACCTACTCTGCCTCAAAGTCCAACTTTCAACTCTTATGGGTCTGGTATGAGAATCCGAATCAGCATTTTTTAACAAGCCATCTAGAAGGATCTCTGGTCTGAGTGAGGAGCCCCACAATTGACTGGTCTGCAGGACTCCTAACTGGTGCTGGTGAGGCCATGTGTCTATTCCCTGGAGCAGCCAGAGATGGTGGCAGCAGGAGCTGGGTGGGATAAAAGGCACTGAAAAGGTTCCTTGAACCCAAATACCTTCCCTGTGTGCTGGTCATGGCCCCTGGAAGGCTACCACCAATGAACAAGTTCCCTCTCACCAGCAAGGCTCCAGGCTGACCTTGTCTCTACTTCTTCATTTAAACTCACTTGCCTTCACATTGAGGAAGAAAAACCTAACTCCCTGGTGCCTTAGGTTTTCTTTCCAGGACTCGGCTCTCTGAGGTCCTTGGAGGACGGTTATAGCCGATGTGATAAAGGTGAAGAAACGCAGTTCCTGGAACATGAAGTGGTCCCAGGAAGCCCCCTGTGTCTCCGTGCTTGATGTCCTCTCCCTAACACATAACACTTTCTGTTAAGGTGTCCAGAACTCCAGAACTCTCCCTCCTTTCTCCCCAGTCATCCTGGGGAGTCTCAGAGCTTTACAGAGTAGATCTGTAGCTCTGCGTGCGGGGGTGGGGATGAGGGATGGAAGCCACAATCATCAAGATGGACAGGAAGAGGAAGAAGAACTTGGGAGAAGGGGTTGCCACAGGAATAAGGAAGGGGGAGGGTGTCTTCACGGAAAACGAAACCCTGAATTTCAAGAAGGGAAGGATCCAAGACCCAGAGTTGTTTGTTTATAATGTGAGGGACTTCAGCCTGTTGCAGACTGTGACGGTTCCAGAAGGGAGGAGAAAAATGGAACTCAGGGTTGAAGGGGAGAGAAGGAAGAAGAGTCAGAACAGAGCTGGGAGATGCTGTCTCCAGTCAGTAGTAAATTGAGCTTTCAAAATGGAACAGTGATCAGGAGAGAGGAGGGATGCTGAATGGAACCTGATGAAAGATAAGGACGACATAGGGACAGGAAGTTGACAGATCAGACCAAAATGTCCATTTTCTCCAAAGTAGGAAGTAGAGTCAATAACCTGGGTACTGGGGTAAGCCAGGGCAGGAGACAGGCTCGCTCTCAAGCGAGGACAGTGCTCCCAAGTGAGCCAAAAAATCTTCCACCTCTGTCCAGCCCAGCTTTCCCACCCTACATCCCCCTGTGTCACTTACTTCTGGAGCCTTCCTTCCCTCCTCCCTGAGCCCCATGAGTGCCCCTCAGCTACATGAAGGGGGACCTCAGACCTGGGTTACTGTGTGAAGTACAGATGTAACACATCTCTCCCCACCAAACAATGCTGGCATCTCCTCCCTGTCTGCCTGTGTTCCTTTGGTCATTGTCTCCCTGCCCCCCCCCAAGCTGATATATAAGCATCATGCCAGCAGGGCCC